GCTTCGTCTCGTCCGGCAGAGCCAGGACAGGGGCCTCTTGGAGACTGGCCTTGATGCTGTCAAAAGCATCCTGGTGCTCTTGCTCCCAGCGCCAGTCGACGTCCTTCTGAAGGAGGCTCGACAAGGGCTTAGCGAAGCCCGCGTACCCAGCGCTGTACTTGTGAAGGTAGTTGGCCAAACCCAACCACTTTCGAAGATCCTTCTGGGATCGGGGCGTCGGCCATGCTGCTATGGCCTTGACCTTGTCTGGGTCAGCCCGAACGCCCACGTTGCTTACGAAGCAACCGAGAACTTTGATCTCTGGTGACGCGAAAACGCACTTGTCGATGTTGGCGTAGAGCTTGTTCGCTCGCATCACGTCCAACACTCGACGGAGGTGTCCTAGATGCACCTCCATGGCCGTCTTGCCTCCCTCGGCACGGCTATGGACGAAAATGTCGTCGAAGTACGTCTGTACGAAGGTACGCAAAGGGCGGAACAATTGCGTCACCAGGCGATTGAACGTCGCCGGGGCGTTAGACAAGCCCTGCGGCATGACGAGCCACTCCCAAAGCATGCCGCTTGGAGTGCTTACCGCGGTGAGCGGGATGTCACTCTCTCGCATCAGGATTTGGTAGTATCCGTCTACCAAATCCAGCGCACTGTACAGTACGCTCCCGGCCATGTTGTTCAACAACACATCCTTTCGTGGGATCGGTGTTTGGGCCGGCACCGTTGCGTTGTTCAGCTTGTTATAAGCGTGAACCAGACGCCACTTTCCGTTCGGCTTACGAACGCAGAAAGTCGGCGTCGAGTGCGGGGATTTCGACTCCCGCACCATGCCTGCCTTCGCTTTCGCGGCGAAGAAGGCATCAATGACCTCGCACTGTTCGCGCGGGAGAGGCCATTGCCTCGTGACACAATACTTTGTGCCGGGCACGAGATCAATCTCGTGCCGTACGCCTCGATCCGGTGGGAGTTGGGTCGGTGGGTGTTTATTCACCACGTCCGCATACTCCGTCACCAAAGGATACACCGGATCCTTGGGGTTCTTGAGAATCTCAGAACCCAAGCGCACCTGACGCTGCTTGTTCATGTCTTCCAGGACGTTCTCGTCCAAGACAGAGGAGGAGTTCAGCTCCTCCTGAGTGGTCTCAGGTCTCATGAGTACCATCTCAGCGATCTCTCCAGCCTTGAGGTTGGCCAGGAAAGACTCAGCCGTCATTTCCTCGAGGTTCAGTATCTCTGCAACCTCTGGCAACGGTTCCAAGTGGACACCAGATGCCTTGACGGGTAAACCCGTCTCGCTATCGAAGATGTGATAGCACTCTTCCACCGGCCTTGTCGGAGGAGCCCGGGCCCTGGACTCCGAGTCGCTTGAAGCGACGTCGATCGGAACGAAGTTCGGATCCGACTTGAGGCGGCGGCGGCGTCTTTGCCGACGGCTTCTGTGACGGGGAGCTTTGCTGCCCACGTCTAGGGATGTCGTCGCTACGACATCCGAGGCACTCGTGGCCTCGTGTGGTACTGTTGTACCCACACAGGAAGCGTGTTCAACGCCTTCCTCTTCAGTTAAGGTCTGGGCGACCGCGTGTGGCACTGTGTTACCCACACAGGAAGCGTATCCGACGTCTTCCTCTTCAGTTATGGTCTGGGCGACCGTGAGTGGAACTCTGTTACCCACTCTGAACACGCTGTTCTCAGTGTTCATGACAGCTGCAGCTGTCTGCGGAACTAAGTTACCCGCCTGTGGACCTAAGTTACCCACTTGGCCGGCGCCTCTTCTGGGCGCGGCCACCATCAAAACATCCTCGGAGTCGTCATATACGTCGACGACTCCCAAGCATCTGCCGGATGCTTTGGTACCCTGGCAGCCCTCGCGGGCGCCCCGGGTCCTGACAGAGGTGGGAACATGACTCACCAATGCTCTGTCGGACTGCGCAGGGCGGCTGGCACCGATTGCCTTGCCTCGCCAGTCGATCCAGGGCTCGTGCTTCTCAAGCCAGGGCATGCCCAGGATCATATCATATGGATCCATATCGAGAACAGTGAACTGTTCGAGGCTGTCAAAGTCTTCAAACTTGACAGCCAGATCCACTTGGACGTTAAGAACAGTGACGACCTTCCCGTCGGCCAGTCGCACTGACACCGTCCCGTTGCCCTTGCTTTCTCGCAAAGCTTCGGACAACTTGTTGCTGTTACGAGCAACCGTCTGGCGGCGTGCGAAATTCTTCGACGCCCCAGAGTCAATCAAGATTCTAAAGGGGTGATCGTACCCCCATACACATCCGTGTACTACGAGCAACCCGCCGCTGCTCTTCGCCGATTCGAGAGTGCGAAGACTCTCAGGGGCTAAGTCCCCGTGGTACGCGCCACCCGCGCACCCATCACGAAGACTTAGTTCTTCCCCAGTAGGGCGCCCCGCCCCTACTGGTTCCCTGCGTTCCCCTGTCCCCGGGATCCTGGCTTCTGCCAGCGACCCTTGAGGACGGGCTTGGGGAAGGACCGTCTGCGGAGTCTTTCCGCGGGACAGTCGCGCTTGAAGTGGCCCATCTTCCCACAGCCGAAGCAGCGGATGTCACGCTGTTCGGCGGACCCGAGTTCCATGGGAACTGGTCCGTTGGGGCTTGTTCGACCGGGAGCCGACAAGGAACTCCCAGGCCACGCTGAGGCCGGCGTACGCGCCTGGCGATGGCTGTATTCTTCTTGAAGAGCCACTTGAATCGCCTCTTCAAGGGTGTTTGCCTGCACCCGGAACAGCTGAGTGCGTGCGGGGCCCACTCGAAGGCCGTCCATGAACACAGTCATCTTGATGTGTTCATTGAGTGGGTTTCCCACTAGGGACGCCGTGAGCTCCCGTATCTCTTGCACATACTCGTGCAGTTCGCGTCTTCCTTGTTTACACGCGAGGAAGCGCGAACGCTGGCGGTACTCGTAGTTCGCCGGGAGGAACGCGGCTCGGAGCTGTTCGCACAGCTGAGCCCAGGATGTGAAACATCCAGGGGATGTCGCTTCCCGAGTGTACACCCAACTCTTAGCACGACCGCTAAGGTTGGAGAGTGCAAAAGCAACACGCAGTTGCTCGGTCGAGATCAGAGCCGCGTCCATCGCGAGCTCTACTTCTCGGACCCAGAAGTGAAGGTTCTCGCCTTCCTTCCCTTCATACGGCTTTACCTTCAGCCGTATTGGCTTCGGGTGAGGCGGGTTTGCTTCCGCCGCCGGAGCCTGCAGGTTCTCCCGCACATGCGCGATGAGGCCCTGCTCGTACGCGTCGAATGCATTGACGCGCTCGAGCTGCTCAGCCGGTGTTGATACCACCAGGCTCTGCAGGGCCTCCATCCCGAAGATGGCTGCCATCTTCCGAACCGACTCGAACTGAGAGTCGTTCATATGGGAGAAGTCGTTCCTATCCATGGCAACGAACTTCGGAGGTTCAGGTAGTCTACCCGCGATGGCGTGGATTGACTACAAGTGCTACCAAGTGTGACGGGGTCACACAGCACCTTGCGCTAGAGGAAGTTATCTTCCGAGAGTATACAAACTCTCAGTGAACGGCAGTTCACAGGTCCCCTCTTTAATTAAAGAGAGCGAAGTGACCTAAATAAGGTAGATTGTAAACTGAGTATATTTATAGGTAGGTTAAGTTTGAGGTTAATACAAACTATCAGTTACTTATAGAAATGCAATGTCATTTAACCAATGGTTGGTTTTGAATGACCTTGGTACCTTGTACCAAATATCCCGGAGTATGACATGTCATACTCCTGAAGTGTGAAGTGTCACACTTCATGTAACCAGGGTACACTTAGTGCTACGTACCCCGTTACATCAACTCTGCTACCGATGAGATACTATTGTACGACCCGATGCATTCAAGTTACATGGCAAGTATCCGGGCTGTTGCCGGGTCTCTGGTAAGTTTGCTTCCGGGTGCTGGTGTGAAGCGTTACCGCACCCGTTTATACGAATCTAGCCTCGGCATACAAACGGATAGCTACAACTGTGGCGTGTACGTCCTACTTGTATTTGAAATGTTGTGCGGAGCAAATGCAGTGGGAGCCGTTGACAAGAAGAGGCTTCAATGTCTCCGATACAGGTATCTGTGTATGTGCCTTTAAATACATCACTTTTTACATTTCACTACACCTTACCAATATAAACACTAGCACAGTACGACTCACCAATTTAAACACCATACTTAGACACTTTTTTTTGTTAAGTGTTTCAGTGCCAATGCAAGACACCACACGTGATTTTTTCTTAAAATATCAGTTGAGGTTTTTTCTTGGGTAAAAAGGAAGCAGCCACTCATCAAGTGATGACGCGGCACTGACTCTCGTCTAGCCGGGCTCAGTCGGTATCAGCTGGGCTCAACCGGTCACATTAGCCTCGTCACATTTCACTCAGCCGGGCACAGCAACACGTGCCATATAATATAGGTCCAAAAGTGAAGTGACGTAAAAAAAACTCCCAAGTAGAGTTTACTTTTTAATAAATGACCTCTTTATAATTCGTTAACTCAATTTTCCACTGGAAGTTTTCCAGATCGGTACTGTACATGTACTGTACAGTAATGCGAGCAACAACCCTGTCGGCTACTGTACATCCTCGCAAAGATCTAAACACCTTATCCGAAGATAAAGTACATGTGCATAGAACTTCCGACTGGAGATGCACTCCAGTCGATGTGACTAAACTTCCTGGTTTCACGCTTAGAAAATGATCTTGGAGCAGAGTCCAGACTGTTGAGCTCTTTCCGCTGCTCGTTTAGCGAAGATGTCGGGTACCACTTTGATATTCGTAATTTTAATACATGTAACATGTATAATTAATACAGAAAACATTATGCTATGTTTACACACATTTTGCTATACCATCTGCAATGATACGTAACGTTGTGATGCGTTTACGGTGAAGACTTCAGTCTGAAGTACTGTACATAATTTAGCAACGTTACTTAATAGCGACGCATCACGACTTGTGCTTGCTACCCATTTTAGAATTCACGTTGGACCCCTCCAATGGTCGCAATGATTGTTCAGTGCACGCGCACGAAGTATGCTCATAGCTTGATACTTCTCGTTGCTACCGCTCTGATCATCTTCGCCAGTGTGGTATCACACTCTGCGAGTCTAAAGACAATCCGCGTCGATATTGAGACGTCTGATCGTACTCGTTCAGCGGATCCCCCGAAAAGTCTAGCCAACCGGCAGCTCAATACGATAGCTACCGACAGCAAGGAAGACGAAGATAGAGTAAACTTTGGCATCAACAAGATAAAAGATTTTGGAGCGAAAAAACTGCAGAAGCTCACAGAGGGCGTGCAGACAAAGTTCCAGCAACAACAGCTAAACCGGTGGGAGGCTGAAGGAAAAACTTCTGATGGGGTGTTCAAGCTTCTAAAACTTGATGCAGAAGGTACCAATATTTTGAGAAGCCCGGAGCTCAGTACGTGGATGGCTTTCGTCTCGAAGCAGGGCAAGGACCCCTACGACTTTCTGCTTTTCAAGCTAAGGCGACGCTATGACGATGTAGATCTAGCGAAAATGCTAGTTTTATCAAAGAACGATGCTAATTCGAAAGCAATCGCCGAGAAATTGGAGACCTTGCAGCTTGAGAAATGGATGACCGATAAAAAATCAATCATCGACGTGTTCCGGCTTCTCAAGTTAAACGAAGAAGGGGTTACGCTTCTGAAAAGTCCAATGTTGAGCATTTGGGTTTCTTACGCGGAGAAGCTGAATAAGGACCCATATGAGCTGCTGTTCCTGGCGATCAAGTCGACAAGCTTTGATGAAGCGAAACTAGCCAAGATGATTGGTTCTGCGAAGGGCGACATTCAAACCGGGTTTATTGCCAAGAAAATGGAGCAACTCCAGCTCGATAAATGGTCGGCTGCTGGAAAAAGTGGTGATGATGTCTTCAAGAGTATCGGACTCGACAAAGAAGGAGGCAAGTTGTTTGAGAGTCCAGCGTGGAACACTTGGGTTGCTTATCTAAACATGCAGGGAAATAACGCAGACGAGATAATATTCTCCGTGCTGAGGAAACAACTTGGAGATGTCGGCTTGACAAATGCTTTTGCGAGGGCGAACGGAGCCAACAGTAGGCTTACCAAAGACGTCGCGACAAGACTGGAAATGGATATATGGAGGATGAATGGACACACCTCAGACGACATGTTCAAGATTCTTAAATTGAACGAGAAGGGCGACAAAGTGTTCGAAAGTCCGGGGTTTACCACCTGGGTGGCTTATGTGCTCAAGTTGGACGGCTACAAGAAGACCCCAGATGAGTTTGCGCCTATCAGGCAGCTGGAAAGACATTTTGGCGACGCTACTCTCGCACGAATGCTAGCCAATTCGAAACGCCGAGCTTCTTCAGCGAAAACGAAAGAGTATATCAAGGATTTACAGGATTGGCAATTCGAGAAGTGGGTGGTTGAGGAGACAAGCCCCAACGTACTGAGTCAATTGCTACGTAAGAAACTACTGGGCGTCGATAGAGTGAGGAGCGATTTCCGTAATTTCCTCAAGCACAATCCTGAGCTTTCTGGTTAGCGTGCGGTACATCCAGCTCAGCATGGATACGTTAAATGCAGCTTTAAAACAAGTTTTCTTCACCCCGCAGTGCGATACCTGAAAGCTACCCATTGACTAGTGTTACGTAGTAGTACAACATATTAGAGCCACTGGACGCTGTTATTTGAGTCATTGGACGCCGACAACAATAGTGGAGGACTTAGCCAAGTTGTGTTTATAATGTAGATGGATGAAGGTTCTTGTCTTGTTTCTATTGAAAAGCCCCTATTGGTTTGACGCGGAGAGGTACATGTAGCTCGGCTAAATAGTCATGCTCCAGATACGCACAAGCGCGTCGTCGCCGGCAGAGGCGAGCAGGAACGTCTTCTTGCCTTTATCCTCCAGTAGCTGGGGGCTCCATCGCACGCAGTTGATATCACTCGCGTGAGCTTCTTTCTGACAGATTGCAAGGTCGAAAGAGGAGGGCGTATCATTCGGTTGGCCCTGGAAGACACGGATAGCATTGTCTGCCGCCCCCGTCACCAAAAAGGCGCCGTGCTTGGACCAGTCCACGCTGAAGATGGTACGCTCGTGGCAGTTTGACAGCGTGAACTTAAGCTTCCACTGCTTGGAGCTACGAGAAAAAAGATGTTAGCTAGGCTCATACTAATAAACTGAATCTAGTGACGCACCCTCCGTCCTCGTTCACCTCCTTGCTATTGGAGTCGTACTGCCAGATGATCACGTCCGTGTCATCAGACACCGACGCCATCTCCGTGCCCTGTGGACTCAGTGCAACGCCCCACACCGTCGCCGTGTGGCCCGTCAGTGTCTCCTTGCAGTACCAATCGTCGTCATTCTCAGCCCAAATGCGGATAGTGTCGTCGTAACTGGCCGAGACAAGGAGGTCCTCCTTCGGGTGCCAGGCCACGAACTTGACGTCCTGCATATGCGCGTGGAGCACCGAAATGCACTCAAAGTCGGTATCAGCATCCGCTTCCCATATCCAGACGCTCTTGTCGCGACTGCATGTGGCTAGGTAGGAGCCTGAGGGGCTCCATGCCACGCTCTTGACTTCGCTCTCGTGGCCTTCGAGACTCGAGATAACTTCGTACGAGCTCCCTTGTTTCTCCCAAATGACAGTGGTGCCGTCGAAGCTCACGGACGCCAGGTAGCGGCCATCGGGCGACCTGCAATTGGCCACAAATTAGCTACTCCAACTTGACTACGTTATAACTGGGCACGCACCATTCACAGGCTCGGATGGTGCGGGTCTGTGCGTCCTCGAGAATGCCGACGCACTCCCATACGCTGTTATTGTTGGCAGCCCAAAGGCGGATAGTACGATCTCCACTGCACGACGCCAACAACTTGCCGTCGAAGCGCCAGGACACGTGCCACGCGCGCTCGCTGTGGCCTTCTAGAGCGCACACCTGGTCCAGTTGAGTCATTCCGGTCAAGTTACGTTAGTCAAATGGTTTTTGAGTCACTCAACAGCAACAGAAGGAACCATTGCAACAACATAAAGATAAGTTGCAGCAACAATTGTTATGTTGCTTGAACCCCGCATTAGACGTGAAGCAGAGAGCGGGACGTTACGATGAGCGCCATGAAGATGGACTTCATCTGCAAGGAGGTACCTACCGCATTGGCCACCGCTGGGCCGGACGCGGTCGTCGAGCCCGAAGACGGCGGTGTGAGCGACAACGAGGACTCGGAGGACGAGCAGTTGGAGCATGCTGCTTGGCAGGATGTGGACTTGAATCCGGCCGTGGAGCTGGTGGCCAAGCTCGTACGCGATTCGCTGGACGCTGGCAAGACGTACAATAAGAGCATCACGGCGAAGACGTCGCAGCTTCTCACGGGCTGCGACAGTATGTTGCTGGAGATTAAGAGCCTGGTCGAGACCCGCGGGGACGCTCGTCAGCGCTCAGGCAAAGGCTCGGGCCAGGGCGGCGCTGACTGCTCTTGTGGCCAGGCCATGGGCATGCTTCCGCTGCGCAACCCGGCCAAGACACTGGCTGGGTCAACTGACTCGACATCTAAGAAGCAGGACGCGCCAAAGGTGGACGAGGCCACGGAAGATCAGACGGATCGTGTGCTGGCCAAAATGGAGGCAGCCATGGTCCGGATCCGAGAAATGGCCGAGATCATCCAGGCCACTAGTATGCAGGGAGAAGCTAACTTGGTATCTAAAGTATCTCTGCAAACGGGCACGTTCCAGGCTCTCGAGGCGGCCGTGCAGGCCAGCGCGGCGGCTGCGACGGCCACTGCTATCGCTCAGGAGCGTGGCCGCTCGTCCTCGGCCTTTGGCCGACTGTACATGCCACTACAAGTTCAAAAACTACAGGAATGGTACTATTCGTACCCACGCCCGCTCCTAGACGAGCTCACACTCATGCGTACGATCTTAAACTACCGGCCATACGCGAATCCGTTCCAGGTGGGCGGACTCTCGCTAGCCCACGTGCGTGATTGGTTTAAGCGCCGTCGCTTCCGTGAACGTATGCGTTATGTAAAACTCGCAGTGGAGGCGGGCCACGACGCTCAAGCTGCAGAGGAGGAGATCGATCTGCGGTTGGAGCAGAGGATTGCGCAATTGCGGGCCTCCGTGGACCCGAATGAGCTGGTCAAGGAAGTAGACCGCGTGCGCGCTCAGAGTTATCTGTTTGATGCAGCTGTGAACGCCTTCACACGGCCGAACAACATCCGCTCTTATATCGCGGCATCCTACTCTGTGCCTACGGCTGCTGATCAACAGGGATACAATGTTAATGGCCGAGGCAAACGACAACGTACACAGGACTCGGAGCTGGATGACATCTCGATGGTGAAGCACGCCACGGTACTAGAAGTGATGGCTCTGCAAAACCGACTGCGCAGTCTCATGGAACAGCCCAAGACGACCGTAGTGACGAACGGACTGCAGCAAGTGGTGGATCTGTTGCGTGCTATGAAAGTTGAGCCTGACGTGCGTATCCAGTCGGGTCTGGTGGCCGACCTTAAGCAGATCTTGAAGGTCTATACGAAGCCTACTTTGCTTCGCAAGGCTACAATTGCACTCTTGGAGAACCTGGGGATGAACCGCCGTGCGATACTGGAGCAGGACGCTGATGACGATGCTCCGTTATCCGCACCCGCCAGTCCAGCGCTAAGCACAGCGTCAAGTTCTCGCGTCCGATCAACGATAAAGCCGAACGTTTTGGAGAGTGGCAGTGCGGCGTTCGACGATGATTCCTCCCTGCTCTTGTCTGGCGAGCCACCGAACAAGAAGGCTAAGCCAACAGCACGACCGGTCAAGCCACGAGCGAAGGAGAAAAAGGGACGTGTGTTGCGCCCTATGAAGTTCTCGATGGACCAGCTCACGGCGCTTGAGGCGTGGTTCCAACAGAAGTATAAACCATCACAGGAAGAAATGGAGAGCTACCTGGCTCAGCTGAACACCCCGCCGCTACGCGATGTGAAGAAGCAGACAGTGGACGTGAATATGACGCAGCTTCGGCGATGGTTTAACAAGCGGCGGTGTCTACGTCGTCCTCCGTTTGCGCTTATGACACAACAAGAGGCGGCCAAGGAAGGATCGAAGAATCCTGCAGTTCTGAAGGCGGCGTCAGCCCCTAGCAATGGCGTGGAGTCGGTGGAGAGCGTGCAAGACACTGACGACGTGGAACGTGCGAGCTCCGAGCTTGAAGGACATCGGAGGACACTCGAAGGACGACTCTCCTATGATACTAATGACGACGACGATGATGATTCGAGCGACAACGACGACGACGACGATGACGATGATGATGACGATGATGACGATGTCGATGATGATAGCAGTGATGATGGAGAACATCTCATCGGCGCAGCTCTGGCCTAGTAGTACAACGGTCGGGATCGGTTTCGATGTCGGATGTATTAGCGAGCTTCGGTGTTCGATTAGTGCAAAGCCGCCCCGTTTAGTCGTAAACAGATCCTTCTTAACCCGTTTGGTTTATTAATGATGCCGGTATCAGTAATTGAGCGCTTACTCAGCAGGAGCGTCCGCTAAATCCTCGTGAAGCAGCATTGTTGCATTGTCATCCAGCAAGTCTTGCGGTTCAGATGGAGGAGCAACACCGCTACTTCCATCAAATCTCGGATCCTGGTAATCGTATGTGTCAAAAGCGTTGAGATCTGCAGGAGGGGCGTCTTCCGTTGGCTACGATAGTCGAGGGTTATGGCTAATGGGTCTAAGATCATTAGTCGCCTTACCTTCTTGAGCTCCATCATTAGGCTCGTTATCGACAGCATCTTGGGTTGTACTCACTTCAGGTTCCCTCTCGATAGGCGTTACTACAGGCATCTCGGCTGCGACTGCGAGTTCGATCGGAGTATCTATTGTTTGCTCTCTGTACTCTGCGTGTTGATCGTCTTTATCCTCATCGTCTCCGCTCTGCTCAAAGGCATCCTGTTCGTACACAAGATCATCGTTCTCGCGTTCACTGGCTGTAGGCTCTGCTTGCAATTCTTGGGATGCATCAGCTGGTTCAGTCTGTTGCGTCTCGGGGTCGATGCTGCTGCTTGCATTATCTTGAGGGACGCTCAAATCACTTGCCGAAGACTCCTTTTCTGCTACTCCCGGTAATTCAGTGGGTAGTTCTTCGACAGACGTGCTTTCGTGTTCGTACACAAGTTCATCGTTCTCGAGCTTAGTGGCTGTAGGTTCTGGGGATGGTATCTCTGCTAGCAACTCTTGGGATGCATCAACGGGTCCAATATTTTGCGTCTCGGGGTCGATGGTGCTGCTTGCATTATCCTGGAGGTCGCCCAAATCGCTTGCCGATGACTCATTTTCTGCTACTTTCGGTAGTTTACTGGGTAGTTCCTCGGCTGACGTGCTGTCGTGTTGCTCATCTGCGTCTGCAACGAATGTAGGATAGTCACTTCCAGCGACTGGAGGTACATCAGCACTATCTCCCGACTCAAAATGCTTACGCGTAATCGGCTGCTCTTCACATTCTATAGTAAGACCAGTGTCATCACTTTGTAGCTCTAGCGCATTAACTTCGCCTTCATCGTTGTTGTCGATCTGTGTAAGGTTTTGTTGCTCAGTTTCTTCAGATTTTGTCTCATGCTCGTCCAAAGGCACTTCAATACCGCTTGGAACTTGTTCGTCAGGGGAGATAAAGGCCAACTCAACTGGTCTGACGAGTTCAGCGTCTTCATCAATATGAGTATGAAGTTGATCAGTGTCGTTCTTCTCAGGGGTAACATCAACTCCTTGTTGTATATCTACGGGTAGCTCGTTTGCTGGGGTCAGCTCATCACGGAGCAGACCATCCTGCGTATCGTCAACAGGCTGTGGAGGTGCAGAGATATCGGTCGGCGGAAGGACCCGAAATTGTTCGAGTGCATTTTGAAGTGTTACTTCTCGCGTTAAATGCGCTTCTGTCCCGCTCGCAAATTCCAATATCCATTTTGTGAATTCGGACTTGGTGATACTCTGAGAAGAAGTCTTGTTCAGCTCACGATATGCTTGCAACGTGACCGTCTCCAGCTCTTCGTCCGAGGGAATAGTACCCACCCCAGCCATGATACAGACACCCCGCGCGCAACACAACAACGAAATCGTCTACAATAAAGTGGTTGAGTGCTAAGCAATATGACACATTATTTCTTTTGGAGTGACGCACCATTTCATCCATCGAAATCTGCTCGGTACCATCGAAATCCAATGCGTCAAAGATCACTTACAAAGCAATTGTGAGTATTATAATTGTTGAGCACTCGTAAACAACATCGAGCCTTACCCCCAGCCTTTTCTAGTGCGGGTCCAGAACTCACAAGACATGCCCCACATATAAATGCGAGAGCATTGATACTGAGACCTCGACAGCTCATTAGCGCTTTACGAAGTAAAGTTGATTAGCACAGTGGATACAGCGTACATTCCGGTGTGGCTTCGAAAGGCATCAATGATCCCTTCAGCCCAATCCTTATCACCCCCGACAAGATCGGCCAGTCTCTGCGAATCTAGACCAAAGTCCATGTCCTTGTCCTTGTATGTCTGGAGCAATCCTCGAGAGGCCTTGAGGTCCCCTGGTATACCAAAGCCATCAGTGTACCATTTTACTATGCAAAATTGATCTGTTCGTACAGGTTGCCATCCGCTCAAATGTCGGCGCTAAAGGCGACGACCTGGATACAGAGGTGCCCATGGCTAAAGAAATTGAAACTACGAAAAGGCGGTGAACATGAACTTCTGGGCGACTTTGTCACAATTCATGCCATTTTACTGTACTTAGCACCCTGGATACCCTTTTCACAAACGTTTTCCCATAAGTGTTAGTTACCATAATTGTAATTTGTTTGGCCTGATTATTTTGCTTTCATATATAAAAATATCGTCAGCACAATTGTAAACACCCCGATACAAAGCAACATGTCGATCAGCAACAAAGAGCTGGAAGCCAAGCTGCGCGCGCTGCAGGCCAAAACGCTGGTGGAGGAGAAGGACTGGGTGGAGCAGGGTCGCAAGCTCTTCGAGCTCGAGGAGAAGTTTCTGCGCGATACGCTACTGGAGGGTAACATCCTCACGGGCTGGGGTGAGCCGCGTACTGCGCCCGTGAGATTCCGCAACGCTGGTGTGCGGAAGCGCAAGCGTGAGCGACAGGAGGCAGCGGCTGAACGCGCCGGGAAGCCGCTTGGGGCTTTAACATCCACACTGACGGTTGACGAGCAACTCAAGGTGGATCGCCACCGTTTGGCGTCCTACTCGTCCGTCTATTCGCCAGCGGAGGAGCTATACGGGACAATGGAGGAACGTGAACGGAGATTGTTGGAGAGCAGGAGCAAGAAGAAGAAGCTGCAGCCAGTAGCAGCCCCTGTAGCCAAGTAAGGACAGAGATTCTAACGGCCTAACTACCCAAATGTATTCAAACGGGGTTGTATGCATGTCAAGTGACAACTTGACGGTCCTATTAACGTCGAGGTGATGTACGACGTTCGCAGGCCTAGCTGTTCTACGTACTTAGTAGCGCTTGGCAACGTCCCGAAGTGGCTATTAGCAGGTGAAGAACATGAGGGCTTCTCCCGCCACCATCATGACCAGCGAGAACAGCATAAAGGTGCCATATGTGATGTTGAGCCAGTACAAGACGAGGCTGATCACTGTGAGTGCCCACGAAGTCACTTTGAACGTGATCGCCCACGCAAGATAGTGATAGAACATGTTCTTCAGGATGAAGTTGGTGCTCACGCGAGTGCCAATGTAGTCCGGAACATCCTCCGTGAACGCCTTGAGATAGATGCGACGCAGCGCCAACCGGTTCTGGTTACGGTTCAAGTTCGGATCTGACTTGTACTCGGGCAGGTAACGCACCAACGTCTTCGAATAGAAACAAAGTCAATAACGCAGCACAAGTATCAACGTCTAACTGATGCAACGTACGTGTCCGGGGATGCTGAACAATCGTCCAGGAGGCCACAGCTCGTACGCGCCGAACACGATGGAGGGCACCACGTTCTTCTTCGTGTCCTCACGCAGGTAGAATGGCCCCTTCTTGAATTCTTGAAGCTGTATAATGGACATAACCAACGTTGTCAATGCTATACACTAATTTAACCGAGCCAGGTATCGCTTACCAGTCCGTCCTTCGAGCGTGTGCCTTCAGGCGAGATGCAGACTGAATTGCCATGCTCGTTTACCGACACTGCAAGTTCCTTTAAACTCTTCAGCGCTGATTTACTGTGATAATTAGCACGTATCCAAATCGTTAGCGCTCCTTTATCATTGTTATTTATCATTCCCATGCAAGATAGCGTACCGGTGCGAGCGGTCGATGGCCACAAAGTCGAAGCCCCAACGAGACGACCAGCCGAGGAACGGGACTAGAAAAATGCTTTTCTTGGCGGCAAACTTGAAGGCAATCGGCGATGATCCATTGACAATGAAGCCGTCCAAGTTGGACGAGTGGCTGTACAATAACAACAGTATCCAAAGCAGTCAGCCATCGCCCTCTTTCCTAGTCCCACCTAGATCTACTCACCTGAACATGCAGACGACAGAGTCCTTAAGGTTGAGCAGGTTTTCGACGCCCTCGGCCTTCATGTCGGTACAGGCCGTGACACAGACCATGAAGGCCGTACCCCATGACACAATGTCCATGGGAAGGTAGTTCTTCTTGACTCCCATCTTCTTGAGTACTGGGTTGAGCCATTTGAGTGGGATCAGCACTGTCACACAGCTGAGCCAACCCACGAGCACCAGCACCATTGTAAGCATGCGCACGACCATGTAGATCTTCTCCAGAGGAGAGGAACTGGCGGGCAGCACGTCCAGTTTGAGCTGCTTACGCACTGCGTCCAGCTTCTCATTGGCTTCCTTCATCTCCGGGGCAGTGACCCACTGACTTTCGATACCTAGTTCATTCAGACGCTCTTCCAGCTCGATACGGATGAGCTCGCTGTCGTGGTAAAGCTTGCGCTTGGTCTGATTGCGTTTGGCTAAAGATCCCTCCTTGGCCAAAGCCAACGTGGCCGGCAACCTCGACTCAATCTCAGCAAAACGCTCTTCGAAGCGCACATCCTGCAGCACCTGCGCAGGTGTAGCGAACGACATGGCGGGGGGAAGGGAGCTACGGGTCTTCCGGTAGTGGTGACTCGACCAGATGCTTCTCAAATTTCGAGAAATATGCTAGTTTGCGAAAAGTGATTGGCTGAGAAAAAGGATGATAACGACGAATGTACCAACACGGTGGTACTTATGCTTGTCAACGAGGGTTGCGTGGTTTGCGTGATCCATTCCCTCTCTCTACAAACCTGTATCAAAGCTCTACAGTATGAACGCTTCTCTACTTGCTGGCAACAGCGTCTTGAAGCATTAACAAGCAGTATGCGTCCAATGCGGCATATCCCACTTGCTGCGTTGTCAGCGGACGTCGCTCCCAGTCGCTTTTCTGTTGCAACTTCGAAAGAGGGAGCTCGAGGGCCTGCTTGATATAGGTGCTGAGCCCCTTTTGTCTACGACGGCGACGCTGAAGCTTGTCCAATGATGAGGTATCGTCGCTCTGCGTTGGGATAATAGTCCCGTCGGCCAGATGCGTCGTTGCCACGAACGTGTCGAACGAGAAGTCGAGCACGTTGACGAACGTATCAAAGCACTTGACTTCCGGGAACGACCAGCGTAGTCGCTTGATGTCACCGTTAATAGCAAATCCGATCTTGACAATAGTGTCCGAGGTGAACAGGTGCTCGAAAAGCTCTTCCAAGTCGCCGATTGCCATCTCCATGAAGTCAAAAATAAAGACATAGTCGTCACAAGCGACCTGTAAGATCGAGCACTTGGACGGTACTGTAGCTCTGCTGTCAGGACGCCACTCTGCATCCAGTCCTAGTCGAGTCACGCAGTCTCGCATCAACAGATCGGTGGCTACTGACAAGGCCTCATCACTGTCTACCACCACAATGTGATCTTGAGCAATCGGGATCTTCAGATACGCTGTATCGTCAGCAGGAGTCGCAGACGCGTCTGCGTACACCGGTCTGGGCATCGCAGCACGCGCCTGCATCATGTACGGCATGAATTCAGCCTCGTGCTCCAACTTGAACTCCCTGATAGCCTTGTACGTACATCTAAAGCTGCTGGACTCGTCATCTTCCTCTTCAGCTGCAGCATTCTCCAGCTCGATCACTTCTCGTACAAATTGGCGACGTATTTCCAGCAAATTGTCCATTTCTGATTTGAAGAACATGAGGACGTTGCTCACGCCGCCAAACACGAACATCTCAGCGAACTTCGGTCCCAGATACGCCGCCGTCTCTACGTCATACAGTTCAGGTCGACGCATCAAGAAGCCCATGGTCTTATCAACGCTGTCCGTTTCTAGAGCGTCTTGACAAAACGCCAGCAGGTCTGCGCGATGCGACCGATGCAGGTACACGACGTCATCCAACTCCTTCACAATATGCACGGACAAGAGCGACAATTGGCTCACGCAGTACTCAGCGTGTCGTTCCTCCATCGACAGCTCGTCCGTCACCACCACTAATAGCTGCTTAGCCAACTTGCCGAGTGTTCGGAACGTCAAGTCCAAGAAACGTAGCGAGACCACCGAGCGGAGCAGAAACAGACACGGGTCAGCGGTGATCATGAGCGCATCTCGAATGGATTGCTCGGCTGCAGCCTTGGAATCCTTGTCTCGACTAGTCGTCAGCACTTGCATCGCATGCTGAGAAAACATCAACGGAGAACACGACAAGTTCGATCGTGAGCACCAATATCTGAAGCTCGCGGCATCTCGATCCGAGCCACTACATAGTGCTGTGTCTGCTTCTGTTTCCAGTGCTTCGCGGTCCTTGAAGACTTGCTCGAAGATAGCACGACGTGCGTACAGCGTCTTCATTGCGACCTTGCGAGAAGACTCGTCAAACGTGTTCCCGCGACGCGTATACTTGAAGTAAAATTCACGTAGTAGTGAGTCGTACACTGGCACAGGCATCATAAGCGACGCTTGTTGAAAATGCTGCAGTTTCGTCTGCGCCTCTGCCACCGTGTCATGCTGAATGCAGCACATGAACAGAGCAATTTCAGTCGTAGCGGAGCGTTGATACCCGTGTTTCAACATAGCTCGAAGTGTCTCCTCTGCTCCGATCGAGTTGTTCTTGTACGCGCACGATTTCACCAATTCTTCCAAAAAACTCTGTCGTTTAGTCTTTTCGCCAGACTCGCCAACAGGAAGCTTGTGCGTCAAGATGTTAAAGCCCTCCACATGACGATATCCATACATGCGAGCAACTTCGACTCCCATCCGTTGTGTAAAGACGATCTTGTCTTCATGAGCTAGAGCGACCAACTCGGAGATATGGTCACAGTTTGTCAGCAAATAGGCCCCACGAACGAATTTGCGGTACAGCGGCAATTCACGTGAGATCTCCGGTAGATTCTCGATTTCTTGGACTATTTGCCACGCCAGAGGCTCGTCACCACAGCACATGTACGCATCGACGATGGAAACGAACGTCTTAGAGGTAGGCTGAAGATGAGGTTGAGGTGGGATCGCTTCGCCGTCGTCCTCATTGACTGGCTGCCACCCTTTCGCGGCGAGATCACGCATCGCCTCGACAATTACCGATACATCCTCTTTCCACTTCCGCTTCCTGCACTGATGGATTAATGTCTCGAAATCATTTCTGTAGGTCACACAAATGCAACGTTAATGACACAAACTACACAAACTACGTACAGGGTTTCCTTACACGGTCACGATGGATCCACTCTGAATGCGCGCAATGAGGCGGTTGATGTCGTGGTGGACCACTGCTTTTCGAACTGATTGTGAGGTCTGATGCCCTAGACACCCAAGCGTCTTGGTGCCATCAGCAGTGGACGTCCCTTCTTCAGACTGCAAGTTCACGACTCGATCTCGTTCGTCCGACGTCAATACGCCACTTTGAACCCATTCATCGAGAACTGGGTTTAAGCCGTCGTAGTCCAGTAACTTGGCAGTCTGACCAACTGTATGGAAGAACCTGTCGTCCATTCGGAGCTTTGGTGAATGTGTTGCAATCTCCTTTAGCACGCGCGTAGCCACGATGCGATCTTTCCTTCGCGCACAAGTCTCCAGCGCCTCCAGGAACAGAGCCTCATCAAAAGCTCCGTCTTCTCGAGCATGAGTCAGACACACCAGACACTGCTCCGCTCCAACTTTGTTCCCCAGTCCAACGGCACGAATCAATGTCGTGTATGTCACCACGTTCGGCTTGGACGTTGACAGCCGCATTTCCTCGTATTTCTACCGAGAATCATTCCAGAATTCGTTAGTAAAGCATAATAACGTAAAAAAAACTATAAGAAATACTTCAAGTGCAGCAGGCAAGTCTCCGTTGCGTGCAATGACGTCGATCAGCGCCGTATACGTGAACACATCGGGTTGGTAGCCATGCACTTCTAGCAGGTCGAAGGCTCGCTGGGCTTCCTTCACACTGCCAGCCCGTTGACTGGCTGTCACGATCGTGTTGAGTGCGTAGCTCGGTTGCAGCATTGGCAGCTTCGGAATGTTACGAGAGACGTCGCCTTCTGTAGCCAGTAGCACCAACCAATCGACGTATGCGAAGGCCCGCTCGATAGCTTCATCCTCACGGCTCCCGTCCTTGTGCAACCCGCTTTTCATCCAGCGGAAAATCGGTCGCAGGAATGCGCGCGTCTCCCATGAGGAATAATCGTCACCAGCGGCCAGCAGTTTGCGCACCAGCGCTCCCGAGACCTCGTCCTCTTCCCAGCGAACCTCCATCGTCACTTTTGAACCCAACTTGACCGTCATAGTTTTATGTAGTGCACATAAAATAGTTTTTTAAAGAGAGTGTTCTTGTACTCTTTACCAGTCATCATCTTCTTCGTCTTCATCTGAGTTGTTAGCTTTGCTATCCGCGTCTACAGTCTGATCGGCCGAGCTTGGTTGGGAATTGAAAAGCTGTGACGATGGGCTTCTTTGTGTTAGCTCTGCTCCGTCAAAATTGTCCGAGTTGCGAGGCACTGATGGCGAATCGAACACTGTTCCCGGAGCGAATCGGACATTAGCTGACTTCTTTGGCTTTGAGGATGCTGGTGATGCATCTTGATTCTGTGAGTTCTCTTGTGGTGTCGATGATGTCGACGTCCTACACAATATATCGTTATTTCTGCCTTGCAGTCGAGCAATTATTATTTACACACAGCCTACCTGTTCCTTGCGTTCTGTTTGGTAATCAAGCTAACAAGTCGCGAGCTAGCATCCAAAAATCCACGCCGCTCATGTGAACGACTCGAATCAGCGGGTGACTCGTCGTTCGTCGTCTTCTTAAGTAATTTGCTCCACTGCCATTTGCCTAAACCACTCTCTTGCTCTTGGTTAATACTGGACGCGGCACCTTTCCCTCGTTTGCTTTTCTTTTTTGAATTTGTGGTTGTTGCTGCAGGATCCATTCGCACGGGTGGATTACGATGAATTACCTGTCGCTGTGAGAGGAAGGTCAATTCGGCCGACGTGTCACGGACTGTGCTGTGTTGCAGCAATTGTCGTGCTGCCTGTTCACTCCTGGACGCTTGGTTGTTATCGTAATCGTCATTGTCACTGTCTTGCTGGGTCTCGATCTCCTTCGCTTTGTTAAATATCTCAACCGGATCCTCGCCAGTTGAATTATTTGAATGATTTTTCACAATGAAAACGTGTCGAACATTTCGCGGTGTGATGTTGAGGTAGCTCTTCCGTCTTCCTGTCACTGGTGCATCGGTGGGTGTAAATACCGACACCTTGTACAACAGAAGACCCACACCAGCAGCGAGTGCAGGGCCTAGTTGCTCAACAAGTTCGCGATGGAAGTATCCCTCTACTTCTTCTCCTGTTGGGTCCTGCAAGAAAGATCAATTGGTTAATGCTAGCCCAGCATTAAATACCACCAAGGAGTCGGCATCCTTACATGGAGAACAGCCACGATTTCTTCGTCAACATAGCGCACAGACTTGATAAGCACTAGCAGCTGCATGCAAAAGGCGTAAGGGCACAATGTAACAACACGTCTTATCACGATACTGTTTACCTGCGGGATTTTTGTAAGTGCTTCATCACTGTCCACAATGTTCCCAACTGTGCACTTCAAACTGCCAATTCTGATACTACCTACAGCATCAAATAGCCACTTTACTTTATAATTTACTACAAGCAAGATAGACTAAGAGGTCTTACCATACAGAGTTCCTGATACAGCGGGCATGCCCAGATACTGACACATGTCCACCCACGGACCTTGGTCGAACACCGTCGCGATCTGCACTGAGTACCGATCCGAATTGGCGCTGGCGATGCGACTGAAGTCGCCCTGCGAGTTGTCCAATCTGTTATCCACCGTCAATACGCAGCTCATTTTATTGTGATAATTACCAATACAGAACGCACTGGTCCGCGCGCTTCTTCATGACATCCTGCAGCGGCCCCGGCACGTTGCGCATCCACTTAAGAATACTCTGCTGGGACCCCAAGTCTGTCAATCAGCCATTAGCCACGCAATCCAACCCGTGAGTCAATGAGGACGCAAACCAACGCACCCTCCTCCTCTCCATTGCGTCGCCGTTTGCCACCTATAGCGACGTCGGCACCGCCTCCCGTCGCCATCTCTTCATCGTCGCTGCCACTCATAGTAACAATTCGTAAGCTGAAGGCCATACAAAATTCTAGTGTAACACTCGCAATTTCCGATGCACCACTTGAAAAAATCGGACCCCAAAATTTGGGTTGACAAAAACCAGTCATGGTCGTCAATGATGTATCAACACGTGAAGGAGTCAGTAAGCAAAAACGGTTTGCTATCGTGTCCAGCACGTACAACAGCCACCGTTGTATGGGTGTGTGAAACTCATTAACATAACCATTTGTGACGAAAGTACCCTTGTGTGCTTACGCTTGACCTTCTTCTTCTCCTACGATACTAATTAAAACAGCGGCATGACGTTGCGGTGGAAGAAGACAGTGAGACCCAGCAGCATGATGAACACCTGGAACCACAAGAAGGGCGACATCTTGATCTCCCTCCGCATCTGCATCTTGGCCACGCGCAGCTCCTCGGCCTCCTTGGCCAGACACGCAGCGCACGTGGGTGTGGCAACGACAGGCACCGACAGGCGGTTCACGGGCGCGTCGCACTTCTTGCAGCTCGCCATCTTCGTCACCTTCCCACTCGCGATGTTGGCCTCCAGCTGCGCGCGCTTCTCCTTCTCTTCCTTCTCGCGACGGGCGGCCACAATCTGCGGGCCGCGGATCAAGTTCAGATACAGGAACAACAGCGAGTTCATGGCTCTATCACTAGAGGAGGTGCACTTGGAACAAGTCTTGCAGGTCTGTGCTTTTGCTGGTTGATTGCCAACTGAAGGTTTGAAATGGAGACTGTCGACGAATCGCACTTTATCCAGGGCCTTATTTTAACCAACTAGCGAAGTGAGACCGTACCTCTGTGAAAGTACACTTCTTTTTCAGCATCCGCACCCGCCGCTCGAGCTCTACCGTACAAGTATCACTATTAAACACGGGGTCTGTGAGCTGAAGAGCACGCTGTACGAAATACAATCCGGTCCGTGTCCAATAGCTTACGAATCGACAGTTTAATTTATCGGTAAAAAATATTAGGTGGTCGCTGAGCTGATCAATTCTACACTCTTGGCGGCATCACATCACTGTACCGAGAGAGGGCACCCCCCCCCCCGTGTACCGGAATCCATATATCGATATTATCGGATGCAACCGACGCAACCAAATCGGTACCGTCGTTCACATCCAAGTCGACCAGACCTTCTGAAAGGCTTCATAGTCAATAATGAAATAGCGGCGGTACTCTCCATTGCAGATTCTCCAACGCATACAAAATACGCATCCTACACAACTAGCTTGCAGCTTTAAGTGCTAATTATGTTTAACTGGGGTAGGATGCGTAGTTCTATTGACCGAAGTTGACAACCCCGTTGGGGCATACATGTTGAAGTGCCTCTGCACTACCGTAAGTTTCCCAATTTGTGCTGTCACCGGTTTCGACTTTCATCCAATCAGTTATTTCAGAATTACGATCGTCAGCCCCGACAAGCAGGAGCGAATGGACGCGGCGACGGAGGTGATTGTGCTGGACGATAGCAGCGACGCGTCGTCTGAGGGCGAGATGACACGGGCATCAGCTTCTACGACCCCGCCGGCATCTCCAGCGATGAAATGGAGGCGTGCGCAGCCCACTGGCTACGCAGATGCGGTGGAGGCGGCGCTGGCGATGGCTGCCGCTCTCGATACACATGAGTCCAGCGCCAGTGGCAGCACGGCCAAGAAGAAGGAGAAGAAAGCAGCCATGGCACCACCGCTTCTATCTACGAAGACCAAGAAGCTACAGCCAAAGCAACACAGTGACAAGAGACCACTACAAGCAGTGAAATGCCCAGCGAAGACCGTTCACAAAAGCAGAGGACGCATTAAACAACGTCCAGCCCAACCGTCGCGGTCTCGAGCGAGGTTGAGAAGTCTCAGCTCCAGTTCTGGCTCGGATTCCAGCTCCAGCTCGAGTTCTGGATCTCATCGTCGCTCTCGTTTTGACGTTAGAGAGCGACCAAGTAGCGCTTCAGGAAACACGGAGTCACGTGGGAAATTGCGGAAACATGTTGGAGTGAGTGGTCAGCGCCAGGTGAAAAGTCGCCGTCGCACTTCCGCTGGAGCTCATGCAGCAGCTCAGAACAAACAACCGTCAGAAATCGTGGATATTTTGTCGTCGTCAAGTAGCTCCGATTCATCTGTCGGTGGTCGCCTGCGCTCGTCATCGGTGTCTTCACTGACATCGTTGAACAGCGATTCGCCGCCTCGGACGCCCGTGAAGACAGGCAAGAAGCGCCTAGTGCTGAATGGCCACGCGAACGAGCTGAAGCCAACCACATTTCCAGTGCCAAAGAGCTCCGAGACAGCAGTGAGACGTCCACAATATTCGGCGCATACAAGCAACCAGGCGAAGAGTAATACTCAAGCTAAAGCGGCAGGCAAGCGCAAGCGGGTGCTGCCTCAGATGCGACGAGAGATTACTACTGGCTTGAAAACTCGAGGAGGCGATCAAAAGACGAAGAAGAAGTTACACCGGGAAAAAACTGATGAGAGTAGTGCGCAGTCGCGAGACTCCGTATCGAAGCCCTCCCCAGCGACACAGTCCGCACCGGTGTGTCTTATGTCGTCGTCCTCGGACTCGTCGGCCTCACCTTCGCCGGCCGCACAACCGACACCAGTGCCAGCGCGGAAATCCGTGTTGACTTCGAGAACTGCGTCACAGTCGACAGGTCAAGCGCGAGAAGGAGAGACGGACGCGTTTGGTCGATATCATTGCCGCAAATCGGTGTCGAAAACGCCGCCGAGCAAAGCCAAGTCTGCGTCGTCGTCGCCGGCAGTATCTGTGAACTCTTCATCCTTACCGTCGCCATCACTGAGAAAGAAACGACGGGTAGCCACATACTTTGACATGGATCACGTGGCGCTCGATGACCTGCAGGCCCAGGAGCGAGAGCTGGCGTGGATTCGGTCGCAGCATAAGCAGACTCGGAATCGATCTCACTCCACGAAACCTGCCGCGCAGAAGCGAAAGACATGCGAGGGAGTGATCTGCATGGACGACCACTCGGATATCAACAGCACGATAACCTCTGAGGATGGCGATGCTTGGAAGGATCAGAGCAAGACGAAGGTGACGCACGCAAGTGTAGCCAACAGAACTACGCGGCTGAATTATAGTAAGGAGATGCTCCACCCCACAGCGTATCGCGGTGTTTACTTTGACGAAGCCCCGCCGAACATTCTTCCTTTCAGTGGCCAGACGTGCAGTGAGCCGTTCGCGTTGAATTGCGAGCACCCGCTCACATTCTATGGTATGATAACGCTGCTGGTTGGTTTGGAGGCCTTCTCCATTGCGTCTGTGTCGCTCTTGTAACAGTGTTGTTTGCTTATTATTTGCGCTGTTGCCTTTGATGATGCAGACGAAACAGAGACGCTGGCAAGCCAGTGCTCGATCCTGGAAAGCTTCGGCAAGCCCACGCAGTGCATTTCATCCGTGTTTCCTAACGAGGTCGCAAGGCCTCAGAGTGACGTCACTCGTGCTGTGAGCTCCTTGGTAACAGCACATCTTCCTATCATTCGTCGCTGTCATCGAAGGAAGGTGCAAGCTATTCTGACAGAGGCCCGTAGGAAGATTGCTACGTACCAAGGAGCATTGAGGAAGTTCAGGAGACCTCCTTACGGTCAGAATGGTATGGCTGGAACTACGTATACTAGTCTTTATTCGGAGGTTCCTTGCTAATGTAGCTTCGGTTGCAAATGTACAGCGGTGACGTCGCATCTGCTTCCTCGCTCCACAGCGGAGAAGCATGCTGTGAGGAAGCTGAAAGCTGTGCAGCACATGTGCAGCCAGAGTGCGGGAAGCGTCTCGTTCCGAATTGGTCGTGGCGACAGCTTTGTGCGAGAGAGAACCGTGTCATCGCTGATCCAGATCAGCCGCGTCGAAGAGACTCAACCTCTGCGGCGGTACACGACGAGCATTGGACTGCGTGGCAACTACCGCGTCGAGGACGATCCGATTCTACGCTACACTGCCATCACAAGGTCGAGTGGAGCTGAGGGTGGGAATGAAAGTGGTGAGAAGTACGGACTACAGGTAGGCAGTGTGGCTGACGAAGAGGTGGCGGAGTTCGTGCTGCGACTGGTGGTTGGTCGTCTTAGCGACTCGGAACAAGTGTTCCACGCGCTGAAGAGCGAGCTCGGCTTCTCTCAGGCGTACACAGCGTACAGCGAACTGAAGAAGCTGCACGACTCGAGGCAGCGAGCAGCCGCCAGACTGGATCGGATGGAGAAGCTGGGTCGTGGTGGAAAGCATGCGTGGGATCCCGATGTGGCAGCCATTGTCAACTTGCTAAAGCAGTCGTCGTTATCGAAAGCCAGCCGCGCGAAAGCCTTGAGCAGACGGTTGCAGCCGCCAATATGCAGTTTCGAGTCAAGCATCGTGGACAGTCTCGTGGACGGCGCGACGGCAGGCATCGCAGCGTTAGGCCTGCGTGCGACAGATTCATACCACGACTTGGTGGACGTGTACCATGGCTCGCTCTGTCGGATGTGCTACAGATACGCCTGCCACGAGCATGGAGGCGATCACCCGCTACCGACCAGGCGAGTGGATCCCGTCTACCCTCAAATTGTATTGAAGGCAACTGGGGAGGCGGGACACTTTGATACTGCTGCAAGAGCTCGTGACAGCTCAGACAGCATGGCAACTGTATCACGTGCGGATGAGACGCAGGTCGGCGTGGAGAGCGACGAGGACATGAGCGACGGGAGCAATGAATCTCAAAAGCAACGTCGACGTCAGCGCAAGACCATGACTGATCCATCCGAGTATGTCGATACGTCGCACGTACCGTTGGTGGCGGAAAAGATGCACACATTCCTCTCTGCAGGAAGCCCATGCAGCAAGATGTGCTGGAAGAATGATGAGACCATGGATGCGAGTGCCCAGCGAACTACATTATCAGCAGCAGAGCTTGGTGTGCTTCGAAAGCTCCGAGAGACTATGGGCGACAACTCGTGCCTGCTCTCGGCCATCATGGGCTCTGTTTGTTGTTTTGAGGTGCACGACATGATAAAAAATGAGCAAGCAAATAATGACAACCGCGGAGGTGTGACGGATGGTGTTGGGAGGTCGGGCCGGCGTGCCCGCAACTGGAAGCAGGGGCGCAGGGCGGGCGGAAGTAATCACGAGCTGCTACAGCGAACACGCATCCAACGTCTGCAGGATCGGGGCACGGAGAATCATGAATACCAGCCGTGCACACACGAGGGCATGTGCGATACGTCGGGGTGCTCTTGTATGAAGCGAGACCACATGTGCGAGAAAGCGTGTGCCTGCTCTCGCGACTGTCCAAATAGGTGCGTGAAGCAAGGCGACAGTTTGGCAAGCAATGTTGCCCGTGCTCAACATAAAACCAAAGCGTTAACCATCGCATTGGTTAAAGCATTGGTTTTTCTGATTTGGTTAATGACATTGACCGACAATGACTCAATGTTGCATGTTTGCTGTTTGGCAGGTTTGAAGGTTGTTCATGCTCGGCAGGCGAATGTCGTACCAACCGATGTCCGTGCTATGCGGCGCTGCGCGAATGTGATCCAGACGTATGTGTATCGTGCGGGGCGAGTGAGATTGCTGTGTCGGTGTCTACCGATACGCTCGCACAGAAGAGGTGTGGGAAATCGGTTTGTGGCAATGTAAATGTGATCCGTAGCAACCACAAAAGGTTGGGCATGGGTTTCTCCTCGATCCATGGGTACGGAATGTTTGCACGCGAGGCTTTCTTGGCGACCGAATTTGTGTACGAGTACACTGGCGCCATGCTTTCCCAGGACGAGGCGGAGCGCCGCGGTCTGTTTTACGACAAGATGGAGATGAGCTACTTGTTTGATTTGAACGAAGATGCGGTGTTGGACGCGCTTCGCAGCGGCAACAAGAGCAAGTTCATTAACCATCAGAGTGAGTCGCCCAACTGCACGGCAAAGGTGATGAGTGTTTGTGGTGTGCACCACATCACAATCTGGGCTCTGCGTGACATTGGTGTTGGCGAGGAGCTGGTTTTCGACTACGGCTACAAGCGAAGTGTCGGTCCAGATTGGAGTCATCGTCGGGCGGCATCGAAGGATTCCAGCTAAAGGTGCGTGTATCCAGATCGCATCCGGCTCCGGTCTGAGATCCGTTTGTTTTCTCCTGCATTTGGTACGTGACAACATGAAAGCTGTTAGACAAACACTTTTCTCAAGAATCGTTGTGATACTACTGACTGGTCAGTGAGCTCTTTGGGACCAGGAATTCTTGAACCCTTCAAAATGCACAGGCAGCGGTACCCCTCACTTGAACTCTTCATGAAGATTGTGACGGGGTCACACAGCACCTTGCGCTAGAGTAAGTTATCTTCCGAGAGTATACAAACACTCCGTGAGCGGCAGCTCACAGGTCCCTCTTCATTTTAAAGAGAGCGAAGTGACCTAATTAAGGTAGAATGTCAGCTGAGTATAAGTATAGGTTGATAAAGCTTGGGTTTAATACAAACTTTAAGTCACCTTTAGAAATGCAATGTCGTTAGCCAATGCTTGGCTTTGAACGACCTTGGTACTTCGTACCAAATATCCCGAAGTATGACGTGTCACACTTTCATTTAACCAGGGTACACTTAGGGCTACGTACCCCGTTACAAAGATGGACTCGGATGTGCGGTGGTCTCGCCACTAACTATCTGATATGCAACGTGCTTTTGTTTTTGTTTTCAGACACTCACGGATGAAACAACGGTAACAAATTATTCATGGGTGACGTGCTTACAACCTAATTTTATTTGTCAGTGTATATATGTTAAACAGGCGTTGTGGAAGCATAATTTCTGGCATTGTAGCCGTTTATCCAGATTAAGCTGCCCACACGTTCAAGGATTACGCAAGGGCGATTGTGAAAATGAATGACAGGACTAGCGAGTATGTTTCTACATCCTAACTTATACAAGTTTTGGGTGTAGATAAGACACGCAGTGTTTCCGGCGTGGCGACTTGCGCTATCAAAAAGCGAGGGTATCATGGACAAATGCGTAGTAGGCCCATCATTGATGTCTCGCGGCAAACATGTCTACCAACGCCCCCCCCACACACACACACAGCTCCTATCCCAAAACCACCACCACACACCATCCCAGCCGTCAAGCATTAAATCAATGGTGTGAGATTCTTGGTAGACTAGCACTTCTTCAGAGATATCTTTTTACTCTGATTTTACGATACAGGCAATACTTATGCAGTCAGAAAGCGGTCCTGCATCTAGAACTATGTCCTGCATTTCACGGCTGTTCTCATTAGCGGTAGGATTAGGTAGGATTGATAGGATGGGGAGGATATGTGACGCGTGCTGGGCTACGGTTACCAGGTTGGTCAGGCGGTCCAAAACTTTTACCAACGTTCTCGAGGGAGGTTGTTCCAGCTGTCCCATACTATTCGGGAGGTCTGTTTCATTCTGTGTATGGCGTTTAACTGTCTCCCCCCTCCCCGTTACGCTATAAGGATCCTCTATCAGACAGCACGACCCACACGCTACTGCTGAGGTTTCAACGAGCGGCGCAACCTCACTAAGCAGCAAACTATAGAAAATCCTGAGCTAGCTGCTGATTCGCTATCAGTGAAAGAGCTACGAGATTATCGCTGATGCGTCCGACATTGCGGATGCTGAGGTCTGAGACCTAAGACAGCGTTGGGTGCAATGTAACACCACCTCGGGCATAATGAGCGCCTCGCCCGTCCTCCTGGTAGACATGCGCTCGTCGACTTGCAGACCCGGCTGAATAACGGCTACGACTTAAAGTGTCACCATTTATGCGGTGGTAGCGGGTCAAGTTATTTTCCCGACGTAGTTCTTGCATATGTTCACTCCAAGTTATTCGCTGGCGGCAGAAGCAATCTTCGCGAACAGTCAGCGGCACGGTTGCCGCAGTCACACAGCTTACGAGGTTTTTCCAGTAGCTCATCACCAACCCCGGCCGACGTCCTTGCAACGGCCAGCGTACTGCGAGCAATTGGAGCAATGAGAGCACCTATCATCGTCTTTGGGAATGGGACGCTTTAGATGGGACGCGCTATGTTGACGACAGGACGAAATTGTAGCCCGATAAATCTATCTACCCCTTCGTTATTATAGAGGTAACTAGCTGGACAGGCCTACGGACAAGCGCGACAACAAAGTCTATACGCTAAGGATAATCTGAAGGACCCATTCATGAATCACAGGACTTGTTTTCTGGATGATTAAGAATGCCTACCCAAATCAGCTGCAATACGAAAATCATTGGTATGACTAATAGCAAGCGCTATAATGCTTCAGACCAGCTAAGATGGGCGGGTGCGAGCGCGCGTATCTGGAACAAGCCCGCGCGCGGCTCCCGCAAAACAAGGCGGCGCGATAAAGGACCATCGCCTTGATGAAAAGCTCTGTCCAAAAAATTTATGGGTGGCAAAAGTCCACTTGTGCCTATCGGTATCAATACGACAGACCTGAGTGTGTTTCCAGAAATAGGACAATACGTTTTGGTATCGAGTTTGCTGTATTTAGCATATTTGGGTAATACAAGCGTGTGATGCCAATTTCTGACCAATCTTCACTTTCGGATACACTGTACAGCCTGTTTGCGCAAGACCAAAATGCTTAATATTCCATATTTCGCTTTTTCACCGATTTCCTACATATGTCCCGATGTGAACGTATTAGATGACACCGACACAACAATCTCACTCACCCCGCACGATACACATACGTCTGGATCACATTCGTGCAGCGCCGCAAAGCACGGACATCGGTTGTTACGACATTCGCCTGCCGAGCATGAACAACCTTCAAACCTGCCAAACAGCAAACATGCAACATTGAGTCATTGTCGGTCAATGTCATTAACCAAATCAGAAAAACCAATGCTTTAACCAATGCGATGGTTAACAGTTTGGTTTCGTGTTGAGCACGGGCAACATTGCTTGCCAAACTGTCGCCTTGCTTCACGCACTTATTTGGACAGTCGCGAGAGCAGGCACACGCTTTCTCGCACATGTGGTCTCGCTTCATACAAGAGCACCTCGACGTATCGCACATGCCCTCGTGTGTGTACGACTGGTATTCATGATCTCCGTGCCTCGATCCTGTAGACGTTGGTTGCGTGTTCGCTGTAGCAGCTCGTGATTACTTCCGCCCGCCCTGCGCCCCTGCTTCCAGTTGCGAGCACGCCGGCCGTACCCCGCACACAAAATGACATAAGCTTATTACATTTAGCTAAATGTTGGTAATACCTCAATTAATAAAAAACAGAAACGACAGAGTAAAGCAGAAAATACGAAACAGAGAATAGTTTTGATTTGCTTAGCTTGGCACACCTTCGTCGCCCCGCTGTTCATTTCGCTTGAGATATAAATGTTTATTAAATATACTGGGAAGTGTAATGTGCGGTTCGCTGGTGACCTTGACACTACGCCTGCCTCCGGAAAAACTGCGTGGCTATGTATCGTGGAAAACGCGCGCGGGTTTGCTCCGTCTACGTGTACAAGCACCCCGGTCGCCTTAATGTAGTTGATCTGTAGCGTTATCGCACTTGATATTAGTCATAGAATTTGCTTTCGTTTGGCTGCTGATTCGGATAGACATCCTTAATTCTCCAAAAAACATGTCCTTCAAGTCATGAATGATTCCTACAGATGATCCAAAAACGCAGGACATAGTTTTGGATGCAGGACCGCTTTCTGACTGCATTAGTATTGCCTGTACCGTAAAATCAGAGTAAAAAGATATCTCTGAAGAAGTGCTAGTCTACCAAGAATCTCACACCATTGATTTAATGCTTGACGGCTGTATTGAGGGTTGCTGGTCTTGGTACTGTGTACCAGTTGTACCCATTAACCGGTCAGCCTGAACCGGTCCAATACGATCCCGCTGTGATTATGGTACGTTGTTTATGCCACCAATGATTGGACGAGTAGAATGATTGGATGACCTAGGTAGTGAGGACAGTGTAAGCCCCGATCAATCAATCACTTTCGAATCTTCCTTCTTCTGCTCAAGTGCCTTCACTCCGGTCTCCGCACCAAGTGCAGAAGTCACTCCGTTCAGTCCCAAGCTTCGTTCCAACACCTCTACACCGTTAACAGGTTATGAGCCCAAGCACCATGTCCTCTGCCCATGACGCCTCGACCAAGGTCACCATCGACAAGTTCAACGGTGACAACTACGCGACGTGGAACCGCTACATGCGTGGCGTGTTTCTAACCAAGTCGGTATGGCACGTAGTGAACCGGGAAACGACGCCGAGCTTCACGGACATCCGGACCAAGGACGACTACGTCAAGGCGAGCAACATTGCGTTCGGACTGATGTTGCTCCACATGAACGCGGACTACCATCACGTGGTTGATGACTGCGAGGAAGCGTGGGGCGCGTGGACGCGCTTGAAGACGCTGTATGGTGGGTCGCAGAAGGCTGGTCGCATCTACCTGAAGCGCCAACCCTTCAGCATGGAGATGTCGGAAGGCGGCAATGTCTTGCATCATTGCAACGAGGTCCTCAACATCAGCGCCAAGATGGAGGACGAGGACGTGGCGATCTGCTTACTGCGAAGTCTCCCCAAGAGCTACGAGAACGTCGTGCTCAATCTGGAGATGAGCAACGCAGAGCTGCGGTCGCAAGACGTTGTGAAAGTGCTCACAAACGAGCACATCAAGCGACAAGGTGAGAAGACGGCGACGGTGAAAACTGAAAACGCGGCCAAGGCGTTCAACACCGACCGAGAGTCTCGCCAATGCACGTACTGCGGGAAATTGGGGCACATGATTGACAAGTGCTGGACCAAGCAGAAGGATGAGGGTCGAGGTGCTCGACGCGGCGGCAACGGCCGTGGACGCGGAGCTAACAACATCCAGTGGCGAAATGACGGCGACGACGACTACGACTACGATCGAGTAGCGTTCGCGGTTTCCCTGGAATGTGGAGTATCGACGAACAAGAATGTGTCTGGAATGTGGGCGGTCGACAGTGGTGCCACACACCACATCTGTAACGACAAGTCCAAGTTCGCCAATCTCATCGAGCGCAATGAAGGCGAACTTTCGGTGGCCGACGGGAACAAGGCGGCTATCAAGGGTGTGGGGACCATCGTGGAAAGAGTGGTCCTGCCCAACGGCACCGAGCGCGAGATCGAGATCAAGAACGCGCTCTATGTGCCTAATATGAGCAGGAATCTGCTTTCAGTACCGCAGATCAACAAGAACGGAAAGTTCCAAGTGGTGTTCGATGGCACTGAGATGCACATCTCACGCAAGGACTCGAATCAAGTGGTGGCATCGGCGGATCTCGTAGATGGACTCTACTGGCTTCGCACGCCTCTTCGATCAGCAAATGCGGCGACAACTGGAAGGACGGTCGACCTGCATGCGCGTATGGGTCACGCTCCAGTCGAGGTGTTTCGCAAGATGGTCGACAACAAGATGATCAAGGACGCCAAAGCACCTTCCAAGCCTAGCGGACCAAGTCTGTGTCGCGGCTGTCAGCAAGGCAAGATGGTCCAAAAACCATTCCCTACCAACCGTGACAAGCGTCGCTATGACACTTTCGAGTTGCTTCACTTCGACATTTGCGGACCCATGGAGAAGTCCTCGCTTGGTGGCAGCAAATATTTGCTACTGATCGTGGACGAAGCCAGCGGATGCATGAAGGGCTTCTGCCTGCGTGCCAAATCAGAAAGCGAAGACTGCATCAAGACGTACATCACGAAGGTGCAGAAGCAGTTTGGCAAGAAGGTCAAGTTGGTGCGACACGATGGCGCTCGTGAATTTGCGACCAACTCGCTCAAAGCTTTCTACGAAGACGAAGGCATCGAGCAACAAACCACGGTTCCGTACGCGCACCAGACTAACGGCACGGCAGAGCGGGCCATCCGCACCATCGTCACGATCGGCCGCAGCATGCTGCACCATGCCAAGCTGGACAAGTGTTTCTGGGGTGAAGCGGCGATGACGGCCATCTACGTGAAGAACCGCCTGCCGTCACCAAAGATCGAGTGCAAGACTCCGTTCGAGATTGTGTACAAGTCCGCGCCGAGTGTGAAACACATGCGCGTCTTCGGCTGTCGAGCTTTCATCTTAACTCCGAAGGAGAAACGGCTCAAGTGGGATACAAAGGCTCGCGCCGGATTGTTCCTGGGCTACGAAGAAGTATCCAAGGCGTATCGACTTTATGACATCGAGGCGGGGCAGGTGGTTATCAGTCGCGATGTCAACTTCGATGAATCGACCTTTGGACTTTCAGAGCCATTTTCCGATGAAGACGTCGACGACCTGGACTTCGAATCTCTCGACATCGACAATGACGGTTCGCGTCAGACGGAGCACAGGCAGGCGGGAAAGCGCAAGAGCCGCCCGAGTGACGAAGATGAATCTACCACAAGACCGCGAACTACGCGTCATCGACCCGGACTGGAAGAAGCAAGTGCGCCGACCAATTCGTCTTCACGTCGAGCAGACGTGAACGAAGAAGAAAAGGCTGGAGATCAAGATGAAGAATCGACTTCCCCCGTGTTTTGGCGTGCAAGTGCCAACGCAGTCGAAGCTGCGGTGGACTTATCGGAGCCAGCGACTTTCCAAGAGGCGGTGAACGGCCCCGACCAAGTGCACTGGCGCAAAGCAATTCGTGCTGAGCTCAAGTCGATGCGACTTCGAGGAGTGTTCCGTGCTGCGAAGTTGCCGAACGGACAACGCGCTATTGGTACCAAGTGGGTGTTCAAGATCAAGCGCAAAGCGGACGGATCGATCGAGAAGTACAAGGCACGCCTCGTGGCTAAGGGCTTCAAGCAAAAGTACGGCATCGACTACACTGAGACGTTCTCGCCGGTTGTCAAGTACGTGACATTGCGCATGGTAATCGCTTTGGCCAAGTACTTTGGCTGGCCGCTAGACCAACTAGACGTGGTGACGGCATTCCTGTACGGCGTGATGAGGGAGATCGTGTTTTGCGTGGTTCCCGAAGGTGTCGAGCTCGACGGTGACTTCGACTGCCTGGAATTGGTGAAGGCCATTTACGGTCTAAAACAAGCTTCGCGCGTGTGGAATGAGACTTTCGACGAGTTCGTATGCTCTATCGGCTTTCAAGTTTCGGCCTTTGACCCGTGCCTCTACATCAAAGTTGTTGATGGCCACTGTGTACTCATACTGGTCTACGTCGACGATGTCCTGGTCACCGGAAGCTCACCCGAGCTGATCTCACGCACGAAGGACGACCTCAAGACACGCTTCGAAATGACTGACAGCGGCAAGTGTGTGTTCGTCCTTGGGATCGAATTGGTAGACGGTCCGGACGGCAGCGTGACGATGAGCCAACGGCGTTATGTGGATGACATCCTGAAGCGCTTTGGTATGGACGAGTGCAAGGCTGTGGTAAGTCCGGTGGATATAAGCACTCGACTGGTTCCAAGCGACGCGGCGACCAAGGTACAAGCTCCGTTTCGCGAAGCTGTTGGTGCACTAATGCACCTGATGACCGCGACGCGTCCAGATATTGCGTACGCGGTGGGCTATGTGTCGCGCTTCATGGAGAATCCCCAAGAAGAACACTGGGTTGCGGTCAAGCGCATCTTTCGCTACCTGCAAGGCACCAAGACGCATGGAATCTGCTACAAACCGGGTAACAACATCGACTTTCGCGGATACTCTGACGCAGACTGGGCTGGTGACCTCGCGGACCGCAAGTCGACTTCCGGCTACACGTTCATGCTGATGGGTGCGCCAGTGAGCTGGGGCAGCAAGAAGCAGTCAAGTGTTTCGCTGTCTACGAGCGAAGCGGAGTACATCGCGCTAAGTCTGGCAATTCAAGAAGGCAAGTGGATTCATCGCCTACTGTGCGAGATATTAGCAGCTGCCAATGAGACTGGACCCGACCTCAAGATCCAAGAAGACAACCAGTCGTGCATCAAGATGACAAAGAATCCTGTGAACCACGGCCGCGCCAAGCACATCGACATCAAGTACCACCACATCCGCGATGAAGTCAAGCGTGGTGAAGTCAAGCTCGAGTATTGCGAGACTTCTGTGATGCTGGCTGACATCATGACGAAGGCGCTCCCAGGGCCTCGTCACATGGACCTAGCAGCTGCTCTCGGTATCCACGCGTGTTCGCATTGAGGGGCGTATTGAGGGTTGCTGGTCTTGGTACTGTGTACCAGTTGTACCCATTAACCGGTCAGCCTGAACCGGTCCAATACGATCCCGCTGTGATTATGGTACGTTGTTTATGCCACCAATGATTGGACGAGTAGAATGATTGGATGACCTAGGTAGTGAGGACAGTGTAAGCCCCGATAAATAAATCACTTTCGAATCTTCCTTCTTCCGCTCAAGTGCCTTCACTCCGGTCTCCGCACCAAGTGCAGATGTCACTCCGTTCAGTCCCAAGCTTCGTTCCAACACCTCTACACCGTTAACAGGCTGGGATGGTGTGTGGTGGTGGTTTTGGG